GCAAGTCGGCCACCACTTCTAAAACTCCAACTCATCCCCCACATGCCTCTCGCCCAACCCGCAGCAACTCGGCCGCCAAGAAGATTGACCCCATCATCGACTTTCCTCACTCTCTCCAGCTCTTCCTCCACCTCGAGCCTCCCGTCACCACTCACACCCTCAACGCTTCCCACAAGAGCAATCCGACCCTCCATCATTCCATCCTGCGTGTCGCCCAACTGTTCGCCCAATTCAAGATCGTCGGCTCAAATGCTCGATGCATGGCCATGCTCGAAGCATTCAAACAAGTGAGCATTCTGGCCGAAAATTCAGAAACGCTGAGGAAGAAGCCTCGAACTTCTTTCTTTGATGATTGAGACTAAATGTATATTCTTGTTAGGTCATCCAATCTTATTCTCCTCCTTCAGGCACTTCCCTCTGCCGGCATCTATTGTCTCACCTCTCCCCTCAGATCGCCCATCTTGTCCAAGCCAGACCCTTATCAGTCAGCATGGGTAATGCGATCCGACATCTTAAAGGGGTTATCAGTCGCATCGGTATGGACACGCCTGATGAGCAAGTAAGCCTCTCTTTCATTTGCCCGATTTGTCTCCCCCAATCGGAACTACACATTAATAAAGAGGTTTGACCTACTCTGAAACCCGTAGGCTAAATCATACCTATGTGATCGGATCGATCTATTCATACGTGATCGAATCGTGGTTGCCGACAGGGTGATCCAATCACATGCAGTGACGAAGATCAAAGATGGTGATGTGATCATGACCTATGCCAAGTAAGTGAATGGGGAATCGGCTGGGTCTTTCTTCTGGCCAACTAATGGGTTTTATCCGTTTATGGGTGCCTAGCTCCTCGATCATCCAGGCAGTGCTTCTACAAGCGCATCAGGAAGGTGTCAAGTTCAGCGTGGTATTAGTGGACGCCCGGCCGGCCTACGAAGCCAGGAACCTGCTCAAGCTGCTCTCTAGCGTGGGCATCAACTGCACCTACGTACTCCTCACCGCCATCGGCCCCATCTTGCGCACTGTCAATCTGGTTCTGTTGGGCGCACACGCGATGCTCGCTAATGGCGCCATCTATGGCAGGGCTGGCACTGCCATGATTGCCATGATCAGCAAGACCTATGGCATTCCCGTTGTATGCTGTTGCGAGACCTACAAGTTCAGTGACCGGGTAATGCTTGATAGTATTGTTAGTAATGAAATCAGTGAGTGTTTTGTCTCTCAATTTTGATGACATTATTTTGAAGTTGATTTTTTTTCTTATACTGAAAAGGTACGTCGCAATCCAATATCCCACCGGCATCCTATCATCATCTGTTCAAGTTCCCATCCAGCCTACCCGCCCCGTCGGAAGAAAACGAGGATGAGGAGATCCAAGAGCTTTCGCTCTTGTACGATGTTACCCGGCCGGAAGACATCACCATGGTGATCACCGAGGCTGGTATCATTCCCGTCCAAAGCGTGCCCGTCCTGTTGCGCGATTATAAACCCCTGCTTGCCGAATGAATATCTTCCTCACTTACACCATAGCAATCCAATCATCCTTCTTTTTTTTCCTCCTTCGGCATTCTGCAACCTTTTTTTGCTGTCACATTGCTCATTTTTTGTCATGTGGTCTGCTAGTTCAGGCCATGACCTGACCTCAAACTACCTTTGCAGGCCACCAGATGTTCCGACCGAATCTGGTGTCCTACTGAGCACGTGAGACAATGAATGCGCATATGCCCACGTGTCTTTTTTCATGATTGGATGGAAGATTGATATCGTGGGTGAACGAAGACCCGGCCTGTGTCCCCCGTTGGAAGTCTTACCGATCGCAGTATTGTGGCCACTGCACGTTTTATCAGCTTCTACATATACGCGCAGATAGCTGAGGCGTACATGTATTTATGATGGCGGGGGGGGGGGGGCTTCTATT